ATTATTTTAAAACTACTACTAGAATTCTGTGAAATCACATCTCATCTTCGGCATGCCTTCCAGAAAATAAAACTACTTCACAGAAAAGATTGACAATACAGAAAGGAGAGAAATATGCATTCTCCCCATCCCACTGAATCAAGGTACTTGTTAGTTTTAGCTCATCATAGGTTTAAATGGCCCTGTGATGGGCTTAACGCTAACATTCACAAATTAAACTTGAAGAGGTAATTGCCTGCATTCAGACAAAGATGAGAGAACAAATTCAGGGCTAATTAAAAATTCTCTCAATGGAAAATGTTAAACCGTTAGTATTACGATTCCTGTTCCACAACTGTCTGTATTCCTCTGTTATGACTGATCCTTCCCCGATTTGATGTCAGAGAAGGATGGTACTAGCTGTAATTTTAAACAGCTAGCAAAGGAGATTTTCCCCTTCCTTTCCATGCCTTTTCTCCAGTTCTATCATTGTCTGTAATCTAACATTGATGTCAGCATCTGGTTCTTCACTGTACACTGAAGTTGCAACTGTAAACCTCACCGTTCTCCTCAGTATTTTTCTTGATAACTAAGACATTTATCTTCTCCACTAAGCACGCTTCTCCTTTCCCCCATTTGTTGTAACGTCTTTTCCCATAATGCACTTTAAGCCGGTGAACTGAGAGGTCTGCTACCAGGAAGGATATGTATCCTAGCAGAATGTAATAATTTAGAATATTATCACTCCTCTGATCACAAGAGATTACTAAAGATCGATGTACTGGACAGCTAACAAGCACATGCCTGCAAACTTGGTAACACAACTGTTGCAATATTCCCACTCGTACCTCCAAAACCAAGCTGAAAGGAATATTTGCTATTCTGAGTAATTGATGGTTTGGGCTGGTGTGCTGCTTTTGGCTGGGATAGAGATAATTTTCTTCGCAGTAGCTAGTATGAGACTATATTTCGGATACGTGCTAGAGAAATGTTGATAACACTGATGTTATAGTTGTTGCCAAGCAATGTTTACATTAAACCAAAGACTTTTTCAGTTTCTCATACTGCCCCTGTGTTCCCAGCTTCTTCTCTACAAGAAACTGGGAGAAGACAAAGCCAGGACAGCTGAGCCCAACAGACCAAAGGGATATTTCAGTCCATACAACATCATGCTCAATATATAAGCTGAGGGGGATCACAGCTTGGGGACTGTCTGGGCGCTGGTCAGTGAGTGGTGAGCAGTTGTATCACTTTGTTATTGTTGTTTTCCTTTTCATTACATATTATTATTAGTAGCATTATTAAAATCGTTATTTCAATTATGAAACTGTTCTTATCTCAACCGATGAGGTTTCTTACCTTTTATCCCCCAATTCTCTCCCCCACCCCACTGGTGGAGGTGAGCGAGCAGATGTACGGTGCTTAGTTGCTGACTATGGTTAAACCACAACAGCTTACTATTATTTTAGGTCCAAAAACCAGATACATGTGGGATCAGTCATTCTAGCCTTACGCGATCCCAGGCCTAATTATGGGTGCCCTCAAAGTTCCCTACAGCATTTTGGATGTTGTTTTTCACTAGCAGGGGACTTCCACATGTATTTTACTTTGGGGAAAAAAAATTATTACTAACTTTCTATGGGGTTTGGGATACTGAAGAAAATACCACCAGATCCTAACAGAGTGTGTATTAGTTGTTTCTGCATTTGACCATGAATATCAGGGTTTAATGAGCAGCAAAAGTACTCGTGCTGTGCCTGTCCTTCGAGACCTCTAAAATGAGCTTGCTGTGTGAGATGTCTTATGTGCATTCAGCGGTATGGAAGGTCCTCTGCTCCCTGAAGCCATACTGCAGCCTGCATGACACAATGTTTCCTTCTATCATTCTTCCTCCTTTTCTCCTCTGATGGTTCTAGATTTTTGGAGCACCCTTTTTCTTGATTTTTGGAAATGGAAATGAAAAACAGTCCCCTTTAAATCCTGTTCAACTATTTCAGTAGGTTCACATCAATAGCCCAAGGTAGGAGAAAAAGCTTACCTGCTTAAATTTTTCATGCAGATGCACATAAATATTTATCATTACTAACCAAGCAGTTTCTTTCATGTAATTTGTAGGCTTTTAAAAAAATTCTAGTAAGAAAAGTGGTCATGCACAGTACTGATCATATTGTTGTGTAACACCTTGAAGCTAAAATGCTGCACGCCACTTAAAAGGAGACAGGATTAATTAGACGAAGCTCAAAATATATGAAGAAACAGGCTTTGCTCTAAAAGCAAAGGTTTAGCACATTATTATAGGTTTATAAGGTTTAATTATGTAGGTTTATAAGTACTGCACATCTTCATTCTGCATGAGATTAAAAAATTATTTCAAAGAGACTCTACACAAAATATTCCTGAAGGAGAATCTTCCTGGAGATAAGGAAGGAATGGGGCAGTTGAACCATTCCAACTCCTCAGCAGTTTCTGTTTGCCTAAGGATCTTCCCTCGTCACTTACCAAAACTATCCTGTAGGTCTGTAGCGCAAGAACTAGACTGGATTTTAAAAGGAAAGTCGCGAATGTACTGCTGCTTCTTTACTGGTTTTAAGTGTTCAATACGTGCTGGTTTCCAAATCACCCGGGGACTCTGAGAACCACTTCTTATTTTTATATCAAAAGTCATCTTGAAAATACAACCAGGAAAAATGTTTCCATGCTTGTCAGAAGAGTTTCTATTTCTTAATGACAGCAGAAACAATTGAAGTATTTCTTTAGAATACAGAGTTTCAAGAACCAGTTTTCTGGGTCTACGGAAAGACACTGTGGAGGTAAGGGTGATCTTGAAGAGAGCTGGATGTACTGAGGAACCCTGCGTTGACTGTACTCCACAGAAAATATACACAAAGAACTTGAGGCAAGATCTGGTAACAGCTCACATCCTGATCAACTACTGCCTTCCGTTCCCATTTCACCTCTTTTGACTGATAGATTTGCTCTGGGTAGATGTCCTGATCACCAAACCTGGAGACTACAAAACAGGGATTACTGTGGTTAGCTCTGCATCCCACGAAAGGGATGCCATCTTTCACTTCAGTTACACCTGGCTACCTCATTGCCACTGATGCTTCCGTACTTTCACAGCCCCACAAAGTCATAACGGACCTCAAGTTTGACTTCAGGCTACACATGTGAGCAAAGAAGTAAAAAGAAGCATGGAGCATCATAAAAACGACTTCTTACTCGTGCCTGGGGTGCATCTGTAAGCAATTGCCCTTCGTACCTCTTCCAATCACCCCCCACAC